AGGTCGGAACGTAGGAATGAAGCCAGCAAGCTTGTCCCCGAGGTGACTGGTTTCAGGCACCTGTGAGGTACCTACTGTCCACAGAGCCTCCCTGACCTTCGGTTTTTAAGACATAATGTCTAATTGGCTACATCTCTGTTTCTTCCTGGGTCTCCCAGGATGAGGGGGTGCAGGAACCCTAGAAGAGTCAACCTCCATCCAACCTGGATCCAGCCAGGCAGGTACCTGTCACATCTGAGCCAAGTGCCTCGGTCCATGGACTTAGGCTCCTGGGACATGAGATGAGACCTGGGGTCTCTTCCTGGCTTCTGGAAACCAACTCCAGACCCTATTCTTTGGAAGCTCACCTGGGCAACTAGGCCCTTCTGAGGCCTCTAGGCCCCTGAATACTGCCGGATGGGGTCCTGGCACCTGCCATGTTCTAGATGCTTCACCAGCTGGAATCACAGGGACACAGTGTCCATTCAGAGGCACAGCCACCTCTGACAAGAAGTCCAGGCAGAGACCACAAGCCCAAGGGAGCTGCCAGGTGTGCCCGGGTCTCTCCGCATCCCCCTCTACCTGCCCATTCTCATCTCTAGATATGCCCCTGGTCCGGCTGTGTAGGGCTTTGGTTTTCTGCCTTGGGGACAGGAAGCAGATGTAAGAGGATACCCAAGCCCTGGGGAGTCTTAGAGTCAAGGGCTGGATCTCAGACAGACATGGCTCCTGCCTGAGGGGGTTATTGACTGGGGTCTCCCAGCCTGGCTAAGCCCACAGGCATCAGGGGACAGGCGTGAGTTGACCAGGACTTCCCTAACCACCAGAAAGTGATTCAGCTAAATTGAGGAAGGCTTCCGTTTCGGCAGAATACATTTTCCACTATGGTAAGAGCTTTTCACCCACGGGCTCTAGAAGAGCAAAGCCCTCCAGAGAGGGGTTGGGAGAGTTTCAGTTTGAATAGTCGATGCTGATTCTTAATCATTAGTTTGAAGAGGCAGTTCTTGGTTTTCCAGCAGGTGGCTGGGTCTCGGGGCAGTCAGGCTAGGTGTGTATGTGAATGCATGTGTACATGTCACGTGAGCATTTGTGACTTCATGACCTTGGAGACTAGGGAGGGAGGCAGTCACAATCATTCCTTTGGTCGGTGGTGAACCCTGTCCAGGTCTGCAGAATGACCTGGATTCTCCACCCTCATAACCCTGCCGTGAGAGCCGACAGCTACGCTGAGGGTTCAGTGTGTGCCAGGCAGCAGGCTGGGCACTTACTCGCAGCCTTGGGAACCCACCTATCAGCCGAGACTCTGAGGAAGGAAAATATCAGTCAGCATTCATCCAGACACGCACCCAGGCAGCACGACAGCTTCACTTTCCTCACCCGTGTGGCCAATTGTGAGACGGGGACCCTAGTGACTTTCTTGATGGGACCTAGTCTGGAGGTGATGGCAGCCGAGAGGGATCCTTAAGACTGTGATCCAGAGCTGTACCTGAGCCAGCTCCATCTGGATTTTTCCATGGCAAGAACCCTTGAGTTCCTTTTCTGCTCAAACCAGTGCAAGTCAGGTTTCTTCCCCGGCATACCTTCTCACCCAATTCAGACCCTAGCCGAGGCAGACGCCACGAACGCAGAGTAGCCCCAGGTGCACAAGCCTCTGAACACGTGCACAGAGCTGGCTTGAAGAAGAGCACCTGAGGGGAGACCTGCCTGGCTGCACTGGGCTGTGGAAAGGGGCCCCAGGGGATGGGCTGGGTGGGGCCTGGTAGAGACCAGCAGAGAAATCAGGTTGGTCCCTTGTGCAATTGGGAGCCCTTGAGATTTCTGAATGAAGGGTGCTGAGCACACGGATAAAGTTCATGGGTCAGGGAATGTTGTGTGTTACATGGGTGCAGATACACACACATACCACGCACACACACCGCACACACACCACACACACATACACACACACATGCATGCACGCACGCACTCACACTGAGCTTCTTTAGGGGCAAGAAACATTCTGTGGCCCACTTCAGAAGCACTTGGAACTCCTTCCAGTGCACAGTCTGGATACTGGCTGTGCAAGGCACTGGGCCCAACAGGTTCTCTCTCCACCTGTCACTGTGTGATTCCCAGGGAGGGACGATGGCCTTCTCTTTTCCAGCATGGCCTAGGAGGGTCTCTCGGGCCCGTGCAAGAGCCGAGAACTGGCCTCATAGCAATTCCGGCTTCCATGAGGTCTGACCTCACAGGGTCTGGCTTAGGAAGAAGCCTTTGTTCTGATGCCCAGGGTGTCTTGGGTAGGGGAGCCTCCTAGACACACAAGATTTCAGTCATAGCAACAGACATACCCATGAGCAGAACTCATAGACACAGCAACTCTCTTGTGAGACCTGGGGGTGGGGAAGGTGGGGATTTCTATGCGGGAAGAGGTCGCGGGAAGAGGTCAAGGGTAATAGCAGGGAAGGTCAGAGGCAGTCCTTGGTAGCTCCTTAGGAGTGTTCCACTCTACAATCCCAGCTTGGCTGCTGCGAAACTCCCCAGGCTCAGATGCATGCTGGGTCGTGGGTGTTTGGAGATGTCCCTAAATCCCTGCCGTGCCCGCCCTATACCCGGTGGCCCCTCTTCTCTCCCTGCGTGGCCTTTTGTCAGGACTGCCTGTAGCTTTGCCCCTCTTTTGATTCATGTCCCGCATCTTTGCTGACCCCATTTCTGCCTCTCTGGTGGGGTCCCAGGACTCAGGCCTCCCATCTGTTCAGTCACCGAGAGGCCAGCCTCCATCTTCACGTTGGCCCCTGCCCTGCTTCCTCTGGCCAGAGCCAACCTGCCCTTTGCTCTGGAGCTGCCAGTACCCTAGGGGGCTGCTGGCTTGGCTTCCTTCCTGGGCCTCTAAAGCCCCTGTCACTCTTCTCTAGAGTCTGGCCACCAAGTTAGTCCTTGGGGAGACTCAAACTAAGACTTAGCACTAAGCAGACACCTCACTTCAGCCTCAGCCACCAGAACCAACCCCATTGGCCAGCCCTGATCTGTCCTCTGAAATGCCTGGGGGCCAAAATGTTCTCCAGCCAGAGTGAAGTAGGTGGAGCGGGTGGAGCAGGAGGAACAAGTCCTGGTAGGACCCAGGTCTAGTCTGTAATGAGGCAGGAAGAGGGTCCTGCACCTGTCACCTGCCCCTCCATCCCTGGGAGGATGAAGTCTTAGAGAAAGGCCTGCCTAAGGACCAGGGGACCTGCAGACAGCTGGGGAGCTTGTCTGTTGGCAGCAAATGCATGGTCTCCATGAGGGTGGGGGAAGGGGTACCTTCCTGCTCAGGGAGCCTCTGCCTGCGGCCAGTACTTCCCACATCTTGCTACCACTGCCCAGGTCAGGATCTGCTACTGAGCCTCCAGGGTCCCAACCTGTCCTGGTCCAGGAAAGGGAGGGGTTGGAAGCAGCCAGCCTTCTGCTCCATCGGGCCTCTGAATCAGGGTTTGTCCTCACCATACTTGTTAGGCCACAAGTCTAGAGCCTGCCTCAATGCTCTCGGAAGACCCTAGCGGCCACCCAGCCTGTCTAATGTCCAGCACTGCGTTAGAGATGCCCCAACTTTACCCATCCCCCAAACCAGGGCAAGCTCAGCTTTTGTGTTTTAAGTGCTGGGACTGAACTCGGGACCTCAAGCACAGCAGCAAGCGCTCGACCGCTAGCGATGGCCTCAGTCCTCTTCGTTGCTCTTGTACATTGAGACAGGATCTTGGTTGAATTGCAATCCTACTTCAACCTCCCCAGTTGCTGGCGTTAAGCAGGTCTGGGTCACCATACCTGGCTTCAATGTCGCCAGCCCTGGGTGGTGTCAGTGATGCCAGGGACAGGAGAACCTGAAGGTAGGGTGGCTGTTGGGAGGACTTTGATGGCGAGGACAATGCAGTCATGGTTACCTGTCACAATTCTACCTGACCAGCCTTGTAGTATGACTGGCATGGCGGATGCCATTGCGAATCCCACATGTCAGCGTGTCCACGGGAACCGTCATCAGGAATTACAGGCGTCAGGACTGCTGGTTTTCCCACCTGGAAAACCCAATTTCAGAGGTACCACAGACTATGCCTGGGGTTTGGGTTGGAACAGTGGGTAGGCCGAGGAGGGGTGCTAGGGAAAAGGATCCCACGTGTCCAGGCCGTAGGGCTACTGCTTCTGCTGAACAGTTGAGAAGGGGGGAGTAGAGCCTGAGCCATGAACGCCAGAGAGGGCAAGGGGCAGAAGGGCCAGAGGGGCCCAGCGGGCTCCAGCAGGCTGTGGACACTTGGCCAGGAAGGCCTGTTTACTGAGAGGCCCCCGAGGTCAAGGCCCGGGCCCAGAGTTAATCATTAATGGCTCACCCTACTCGTGGTTGCCTGGTGTGGCCTGGACCAGGACCCAGTACACAAGTACCGTCCCACTGCCACCGTGTATGTGTATGGGGGGTTGGGGAAGTACCAGTGTGCCTTTAAAAGACACCAGCTTTCTGAAGCACCCTAGACTTAGGACAGGCCTGTGGCGGGGTGCTGGAGCACCCCAGCAAAAGCCATTTACTCCCCACTGATCACCCCCTGGAGCCTCACACCTTAGACCCTGGCTAGGAGAGGATCCCACCAAAGCAAGGGGTCAAAGAGAAGCCGGTGTCACTGAAATAGGCGTGGGGGCAGGATGCAGAGACGAGAGTCGGGGATCAGCACCATGGGTCTTGCTCACCAGGGTATGGGTTGTCCACGTTCTGGAGCTGCCCGTGGGACTGTTTGCTGGTGCTGACCCTGCTGGGAGAGAGGGCCTGTCCGTTCCAGGAAGGAGGTGACAGAGGAACAAGAGTGGCTATAGCAGCTTTGTCAGGGCAAGCCCTTGCTCCCTGTTCCCGGTTCCCAGCTTGAGCGCAGCCCTATTCCCAGTCCTGAGGCCACACCATGGGAGCAGAGGCGGAATAGAGGCTCAGCTTTAATCACAGTGAGTGGCTGCTCCCTGGAAGCCCCGCATTCAGCCAGCTCTCAGTAGACAACTGAGGTACCTGGTTGTGACCCTAGAGCTGACCCAGGACTCTGCGTTTCCCATGAGCTACCACTGAGTGAGGCAGAACCTCCAAAGGTTCTATGCTCCCAAATAGGGTAGAATCCACTTGGGGTCTCTGGCTTCCTTTTGGATGTGTGGACTGTCTCTCTCTCTCTCAGAGTTTTACGTTTATTTTTTAAGGCTTTGGGGCATGGAACCCATGAGAGGTACAGCTGCCTAGTGGGTAGGGGTCTGAGCCTGTATATAACTCTGTTCTGCTTACGTGGAGCTGTTCCTACCTTCACTGGGTTAAGTGGGGAGGGGTGTGTGTGTGCTCTGTTTACACCCCAGCCTGTGCAGCCAAAAAACCCTAAGGAAATGTTTTAGGACGTGGTCCATGGCTCTTGTTTGAGGACAAGGGCTTCTTATGGCTGCCTGTGATGACCCAGTCCAGGCTTAAAATCTGTACATGGTTTCTTGGCTTCAGCCCCAAAGGGCATTGCCCAGTTCAGACCCTCAGGGTCCACTTAGGACATAATTGTTCCGTTTTCACGCACCACTTCTGCCTGACCAGGAAATCCTGAAGCTAGGCTGCCCAGCCCTGAGTCAACACTTGTCAGGAAGGAGGGTGGGGGATAGAAATGCAGCCTATAAGGCCTCTGCTCAGCCACACAGACCCAGAGGGGTTCCGCGGCAGTAAAGGCTGCGGACATAGACACCCATAGGCATGGGCTCAGGCGCTCATCGTGCACACTGTATACACACAAGCATACCCACAGTCACACAAGCACGCTGGTGTGTGGATACATGTATACTTGCGTGGACACACGGGCGCTCATATACCACACAGGCATATGCATACATGAACAGGCACAGGCCTTGTTGCTTCCGGCAGCCTACATGAACTCCAGGTTGGCATGGGCCATGCTCACCACACAGACGCTCACACAGCTCAGCTTGCTCTCCCTAGGCCCCTTTGCCGTGTTCACTGGTCGTCTATACAGATGCGAACCACCTCTCACTCAAGAACCGCTAAGGGAGCCTGCACCCTTAAACCTCACTACACTGCTCTATGTCTTTGTGGCCAGAGCTATCCGGAAGGCCCAGGTGCCACCAAAGACTTGCGGACTTCAGAGAGAGGGGCAGCATCTGACATACCTCAGGGAGGGGCCTTTGCTGTGGAAGGTGTGCCCATTTCAAGGTTTGTCCTAGAACCAAACACACTTGCTTGTACCCTGATAGTCTTCCTGCCAATATGACCCTGTAGTGGTATGTGCGGGTTCTGTTTGGCACACAGTAGGCCTCTGCTTACAGAGTGTTATAATGAATGGACAAAGTCCTAGCCGGAGAGGGCCCTGTCCCTTGGGCTTCGGGGCCCCAGGAGTTCCTTTGCCCCCCCCCCCCGCCCCTGCTGTTTTTCTTGTCTTCTGGCTCTCTTCCACCACAGGAGAGCAGGACCCAGGTGAGCCAGTCTGCCAGGAGCTCCTGTGTCTGGGGATGGCAGGCAGGCAGCCCCAGGACGTGCCCACACACAGCTCCCCCGCGGCCGCACGCCAAGCCCACGCCAGAAACAGGCCAAGAGTCGCAGTCTCAGGGCCTGCCCACCACCCACGTCCTGCCGAGCCTAACACGCCTGCTCTGTCTGAGGGGAAAACCTGGCAGGATCCAGACACTAGGCCACATACCAACCACCAGGAAGGACAGGCCTCTCACGCTGCCAGTCCTTCCCGAGGTCGCTGCTCACAGGTAGTCAGGGGCCTCTGCAAAGGTCAATCAGATCGATCATTGTCCAGGCCCCGCCCACAGATGTGCTCTAGAGCCTTAACCTGCTGGTAACTAAGCTCCTTGCATTCTACAGGGCCTGGCCACCTGGCCCCTTCCTGCTGGAGTCCAGACGAGAATTCTGCCATTGATATCTTCAGGCCTCTTTCTCCTCACTAAGTGGCCCAGGCTGGGCCTGTGGAACTGAAAACCTGCCTTTTCTTCCAGAGTTGTTGGAAGTCTCGGGTCTTCCTCATGCTCAGTTCATCTTCTGGTTTTGGCTGTCTATGTCACCTACCTGGGGAAGCCCTCCCAAAGTGTCTCCTGAGCACAACATTTCGTTACCCATTCCTCTTGATTTCTGAAATGGCGTCAGCCACATGCATATGGCTATCACCTCTCTTCCATACAGGATTGTCGGTCCCCTGACAGCAAGGATCATGTCTGTCCCAAGCCTTGATCTAAAAAGGGCACCTATGATAGATTAGGACTGATTGTTGACATTCTGTAATGGTTTTTCTTTTTACATTTCTATTGTAGTGTGTGTGTGTGTGTGTGTGTGTGTGTGTGTGTGTGTGTGTGCCGGAGACCAAACTCAATCCCAGGAGCATGAGAGACCAGCTTTGTGTGCAGCACACAACCAAATCCCCAGCTCTCTGTGGTGTTTGTGGAATGAATGGAAGACTAACCAACCAAAGAGGACAAAGCTGAGTCTAAATGTAGAATGGAAAAGGCCCTGCCAGGGGTGGTGTAGACCTCCACTTCTCCATGGAAACCCGACTCTTGACATTCAGGCAGACTCTGAAGAGCAGATCCAGGCTCTGCTGACCCTCTGCTCCTTCCAGGGTTGTGTGTCACCCTGGCTGCTCCTTGTCCTGCCTAGTGAAGACCTTCTTGTGGCCATTCTACTGAACTCATGGAGGCCTTGTCTTCTGCCAGCTCCTGTTTCCATACCTGTGTCTTGGACATTCTTCTTCCCGGAACGTCTCCTGTGGATCTGCCCAGTCCCTCCCCACCCTGGTACATAACCAGAGTCCTTTGTTTGCTCCAAAGCTCCTCCCTACCGTCCTCAACCCTGAAGCTGAGTCTGACCCCTCTATTCGCTCCTCTGTTAGCTCGCCAGGCTGACGGTAGGGCTGTACTTTGGTAGGCGAGGTTAAGGAGGTGACCTATAGCTCCCAGGTACTCCATGGGCTTCTTTTAGGGCCCTCATAGCCTTGGGCAGGTGGGCAGGAGTGGGTAGGGAAGATGCCTGCCTACAGGTCAGTGAGGAAGATTGGAAGAAGAGGGTTCAGTTAGGCCCAACGAAGCTCAGAGACGGGAGCTGCTAACTTCAAACCCAAGAGTAAGGGCCTCATTACTAGCTAGTTGGTTCAACGGTGGTTTAGCTAGTTTGTTTGTATGTCGGTTCCCTTCATTTGTGGGGTATTCACTGTGCCTGGAGTAGAATAATTCTAATTCTTCCTTCTATGCAGCAGACTCTGGGTCCTTATGGGATAATGGGCTATCCTGGTCTCTAACAAGGCTGGGGCAAATTTACTTGGTTCTCATCCCAGACCAGGGATCAGTCAGCCAAGCCCCCATCTGGAGAGGTGAGTCGGTGGTTAAGAACACTGGCTGGTCTTCCAGATGACCCAGCATCTGCATGGCAGCTTACAGTAACCATAACTCCAGTTCCAGGGGCTTTGATGCCCTCTTCGTGCCTCCAAGGGCTTCATGCATGCATGCGGTGCACATACGTACATGCAGGCAGAACTATGATATACACAAAATGAAAATAAATCTTTTCTGGTGAAAAAAATTAAAAGAATATTTTATGGCACATGAAAATGATAGAAATTCACATCACACTATCTGTCAATAAAGTTTTATTGGCACTCAATGATAGTCCATTTATTTGTGGATCATTAGTGTTTGCCTTTGCAAAAGAAGCTGAATAGCTGCAGCTATTCAGCTGTGGCCAAAAACCTTGGCCACTGGACATTTTCAGAAGAGGTTTCCTGCTTCCCTGCTCTAGGTCCTGTGACTACCATCCAACTGGCCACGAACAAGTTATTGCTGCTCCCAGGACTCAGTTTCCCCTTTTTATGAGACTGGGGTTGGATGTGTGCTACGAAAGTATTGTATCTCAACTATATTTCCAGTCCCTTTTGTACTTATTTTGACACAGGGTCTCCCTAAGTTGCCCAGACACACACACACAAATCTTTAAAAATAAAAATGGAATATGCATAGCAATTTGCTAGGCGAAAGACCAGGGGTGAGCCGGCTAGGTGGTGGGAACAGCTATCTTAGTGAACAAGAGAACAAAGGCTTAAAGACCTAAATCTGATGGGGGCGGGGAGTAGAGCAAGGTCGTGGGGGACTCTGGGTAACCAGAGGCCAGGACCTTCGCCCGCCCCCTCACCGAGATTTTGCTCTAGGTAGGGCATGATACCAACTAAGTGCAGATGTCAGAATCTGGTGGGAAGGCATGGAGTATTGGGTTCAGAGGCGGGATACAGGATACGCTCAAATCCCCATTCTTGGGCCTCTGCACACAGCTGGTGGTGCCATTGGAGTTGGAGGAGCTGGCTGCCGGTGGGAGGAACTTAGTGGGCTCTGCTGCCAGGACTGGGGCCGCCTGGTCCTGCCCCTGGCCCCGGGCAGTTGATGGAGGCCAGAGTGAAGGCAGGCTGCCACAGGTGAGATATGGGGGGGAACTGGCAACAAAGGCCTATTCTTCAGGGTTTAAAAGAGACTCAGAGCCCGTCCAACTTTCCTTCATTAGATGCTCCAAGATGTTTCCCCTTCCAGGCTGCTTGAGATACGTGCCTGATAAGGGTGTGATTTGAAGAGACTTAATTATGGCCCCAGACCATGATGTAAACATCCACGGAGTGTTTGTTTTACCCTCCCTGCTCGGTGTGAATAGGGAACACGGCTCAGGTGCCAGGGAAGAGGACCCGGTGACCCCTGGCTTAGTGGAAGGAGGAAGCCAGGACCAGAATTCAGGGTGCGTTTCTGTGGTGTAGCCATGGGCTTTGGGTCCTGCCGTCACAATCTCCTGGCCATTTGGTCACGAGAGGCTTATCTGTGATAGCTGTAGTGATCTCCCATGGAGGCACCAGGATTGGTAAATGCTGGCCAGCACCATGGAGGGGATAGGGAGTTTCCCAGGCTGGCCTGACCCCGACGTAGGCCTCAACCCTCTAGGAGGAAGCATCTGGTTCCATAGCTCTTTCTGACCAGCTGGACGACAGTGAGGATGAGGCTTTGGCCACTCAGTAAGCCCCTATGTTTCCCTGAAGCCACCACCAAGCCATATAATGGCCAAGGGTTTCCCAGGCCTCTAGCGCTGTAGCTTCTTGGGGGAGGGGACATGGCTGCAGTGAATCAAGGTTCCACTGAGGCGTCAGGCTAAAACCGACCCCGAGTTCTCTGGTCATGCCTCCATCCCATGTCCAGTTCTGGGTGTGTAGTACCCTAAGCAGCCACTCACAGAGGAGTCTCCTGTATAAAAAGATTAGTTTATTCCTATGTTGTCCAAAGCCTGGTGACCAGCAGAACACAGTTAAGTTTTGTTTGGGAAGAACCTCTTTTTAGAGTTGGGGAAGGTTAGAGGTGGGAGGAGACGGCGCCCCCTCCCAGTCCCACCCAGACGCATGCTCACCTTGATACATATGTATATATCATGCACATACATGGCAAACTCATCAAACCAGGTCCTCCACTGTTTCAAGGATGCTCACAGGTGTGAGTGTGTGTGTGTGTGTGTGTGTGCACGCACCCGCATGTGCACACGTGCGCATGTGTGTGCAATAGCCAATGATGCTGCTTAGGAATAGTCAGCATCCCCAAGAAGAAAAAAGAAAAAAAGAAGAGAAACCCCCATATATATAGCAACAAGAGAGAAGGTGACTATCCACGGTCACTTGGGCAGGACCCTCTGTGGTATCAGGCAGGTGTTTTCACTGAAGGCTCCATTGGAGGAGCTTCAGGGACCTCATTAGGAAGAACTGTAGCTCAGCACCCCTCCAGAGGTGCAGACCCTGCTTCCTTCTGTAGATGTCCCTTGGGTCACTTGTCCCAGCATCCCCCCACCCCCACTATGCCTCCAGTTGAGACCAGGAAGCCATTTTGGTCCGTGATGAGAAGAGGAAGTCCTGTGGCCCCAAAACAGAAACAGGAACCTGGGAGGGGGATATGGATAGGGAACGGGAAGGGGGGCACACACCCAGCAGATGCAGCCAGAACACCCCAGCCTCCCCGACCCCACACCAGCAGGCTGGACCAAGCATCTCTGCCAAGTCCCAGCGCTATGGTCCTCTGTGCATCCAGATGTGTTGGATGAAGGCCGGGCTCGCTAAAGGCCCTCAGAGGCTGGGTGACTGGCTGTTGGGCTGTGTTCAGTTCCCCAGGCCGATCTGTCCTGTGGAGAGCTGGATGGCACTGGGCCAGCCCCTCGAGTGTCGCATACCTGGCCATCATGTTCCTGGCTCCTGAGTATCGTTATGTGGGATGACATAGAGTTTTTCTGCCTCACCTCAGCCCATGTCCTGAGAAATCCCAACTCCCCAGCCCTGGTCATGAGCTTTTTGGGATCTTCCATCGACCAGTGAATGACTCCTCTTGCTCTGTGGGATGTGCCAAGTCCTTACTGGGCAACCATGCTCAGGATTGTCTAGGCCCATTCATCACAGGCCAGAACCAGGAATCTGCCCCCTGGGTACCTCTGCCTCCGAGGTACTATCCAGGGCCAGGGCCACCCTCAGCTAGTATCTCCTTTGCAAGCTGGGCTTTGGGGAGGCAGGAGAACAGCTCTCATTCAGGGAAGCCATTTGCCTGCTCCTCCTCCTCGGGTTTGGAGGTTCCTGCGGGAAGACGCTAGAGGCGGGTGGGCGGCGGCCAGAGCCTAGGGGACAGAGACCTATGTCACCAATTTCAGTTCTGCCCCGACTGGCCTGAGGCAGTTTGGGACTTCCCAGAGTGGAAGGACAGGCGGGGGGTCCAGGCCACCTGGTGGCAGGACAGGCTCTTGGGTCCCTCTCCGCATCCTCACTGTCTATGGGGGAGTTAGGAAGCTCTCTGAGAAGTGTGCCTCTATGGGGTACCTTTGTGCCTCTTCCGTTCCTGAGCCCCCAGAACAGCTTTCCAGGACTTCCTGTCAGACTGCCCAAGACTAGCGCAATAAGAGACTTTCTTAGCCCTCCGCACTCCCCACCCCGACGGAATGAAGCCTTTAAGGGTTGCAGATGCCCCCAGGGTGTGTGGGAAAGATATTTAGTATGAAACTCGGATGTGCCAGATAAGATGACCTCCTTCCCCGGGTGGACCACTCTCCCTCCCCAGACTGA